TTCGATTTTGTTATATCAGAGCTGGGATTTAGTTGCACATTTCGGCTCGATTTCGTTGGCGACACCCACTGTTCTTCTTCTTGCCGCGCATTGCCTAGCAACGAATTGTCGGATGCTTGTAAACAAGCATGTGAAGTAGAAGACTCAAAATTGACATACAGGGTTATATGGACTTTTAGGGCAAGACTGGTTCAATTTACTTTGAAGTCAATTTTGTTGGTCATTTGGATCAAGTGTTGACTAAATTTACCTAATAGGTAACTTTCCTTGGTAATCTCGACTTCGAAGTTAGCAGTGACATCATTGAAATATCAACGAATGTCTTTAAGTCAATAATTACCTTATTTTGACAACTTGAAAGTCTATTCGACTTTGAAGGCATAAATACAGTTCGATATTAGGTAATTTATAACCTCAGAAACTTATTAATCATTACCAGATTCTGAGAGAATTTACTAGATCAAAATTAAGTAATTTTTTACCTATCAAGAACACTTTAAACGCAAATGGACTTTGAAAACATTAATACGTTGAAATTAGGTAATTTTTTACCTGCGAAGAAAACCTCAAATATAATATTACTTTTATGACATATTTTAGGTCGAAATTTAGTCATTATTGTCTTAATTAGGACAATTTTGCTTTGGATTGGTCAGGATGCCCTGTTTTGCTGCTTGGGTTGGATCTTACCACGCATCGTACATGCGCTTAATATCCATCATGTTGCTATATCTCTTTACCAGCAAGAATTCACACTCTGCAAGATTGGTCCGGTATCCTTGAAACTGGTTCACTATGTGTTATCGCTGCAGGGCACTTCGACTTGAAAAATGGCCACATTGTAGTAGTTGGACTCAATGTTAAGTTGATATCCTTGAAATAAATCTGCCACGCGACTTTGTTTTTGCATATGAAAGATGTTCGTTAAAATCTAAGCATTTTTTATCTACATAAAGCTGATTATATAACGTCATATATTTATAGACGTGAACTTTTTAAACGATATATTATATTAATTTTATCAATCTACGATTGCATGGCCAATGCTTTTTTATGCACTTTATCCTATGGAATTCAAGATATCAAACAGTGGATGAAAATACTCGTCATATGTCTGTATTCTGTATGTAGTTAGCCTGCAGTTTTATAGATAACGAGAAAAAGTAAACTCTATGGCATAATATTTCGTATCTGTAACTGTAATGTAGAATAGTTTTCCTTTTTCTTTTTCTTTTTGACACATTCACAATCCACTTTGTTCTTAAGAGAAACGCTGGACACTTTTCCTCATTCTCAAATAAAAAAAATCATTCTCATATCAAAAAATTATAGTGCTCGCAAATTAGTATTAATTTCCTCTCGAGTGAACACTTTTCTTCTTTAACGTCAAAGCGAAAAATAGGCACTTCAGTATCAGTCATCCTTCAGTCAACACGATCAAGACACTGATAGGTTGCTTAGTTTTGCAAATGCAGAATTCCATAAGAAAATGATGTAAAATACGTATGTGTTATTCATGTGTGTATGTATGTAATGTAATAACGTGTTATTTATTATCAAACACAGTAATTTTAAGCAAAGGTTAAAATCAGTTGTTTCTATAAACATCAATTAATTGAAGATTAACTGATTTTCTCTCTTTTTTTTTAAATGTATGGAGACTCAGCATGAGAAAGTAATTTAATATTTTAAGACAAGGGCAATGGGGTACCCTCGCTCAAACCTTACAACAGTAAAAGAGTTATTTTGCAGATTAACATTGCGAATTCAAGTTGGGACCATAAACAATCAAGACAGGGAATGAATTGTGTTATGAATTAAGGATTCAACACAAATTTCTCATTCTCGTCGTATAATAACGCATAATTCTCAGGAGCTTTGGAATCTTAACGCGTTTATAACTACGCCTCGCATCAATTTTCCATCCTCTCGCTAAGGAAAGCCATCGTTTTGGCTGGCGGTTTTGCACGAGGTCGTCCAAGCCACGCGATTAACTCACTAAATTATCATTGCATCGTCCATTGTCCGTCGGTCGACTCCCGTCGGTCACGGTGATTTCACCTTTGCACAGGAGCCGCCGCGGCTCCTTTCGCTCGCTTCCGCCGCGCCTCGCCGCGCCATTCTCCATGCATCCTCTCTTGCGATCTCCTCTCTCATTAAACACCCACGCTTCGCGCGGTTCTCACGTGCCCGATCACGTGATATAATCTAGGATTATAATGAAATTGCGCGCTCGGAAAATTGGCGACATTGGTAGCTGATAAAAAATTCGGTGTTTACAGGAAAAGGATATGATTATGCTAATAGCAAACGTAATTAGTTAATAGAGAGAAGAAATTTACAAGATTCTTGGTCAATCGCTCTATGAGATTCATTTGATTGTTAAACAATCAAGTTGGCACACATTCGTATCGCTTAATCATTAAATTTCCGAAACTTATATATACGATACTATTATAGCTTAGCATGAATGATACAAATGTGCGTAAAAATATATGATGTATTTAAATCAGACTTGTGACAAAAATAAAATGAATGGAGAAGCTAATTAAATCAATAACAAAATGCTGTAATTTGAATCCTGTACTTTTTATTTCTTATCTATTAATCTGTTATACGCGGTACTACCATTCTCCAAGAATAAATATTATTTCTTTCATGTTTGCGAATAGAATTACTCAACTATTTTTTAAATAATATTTTTCATTTATTTAATATTATTTAAAATTTAAAATATGTACTATTTTATATTTCTCGACACACGCATATTATTATATTCTACAAGAATCATCTGAATCTCTAAACTAAAGTAACGCTTAAGGATTGTAACATACCGCACGCGAAGGCTAGCATCATCGTCGGTGGCATCTTGCGGTGATCCAACCACGTCGCATACAATCGTGGTACTTATTACGGATCATAATTGCAGATGGTGAAGCATGAAGAAGACACGTGATAAATGCGCGATCTCGTTTGCGATCTCACTTGGTATTTGAGGAGCGTCGGCGTTTCATGAACACGTCGCGACCTTCACACGAACACGTGCTAATTGATATTCAGAGCGCACGTTATATTAATTACCTTTGCGTAGCTTCGTCCCGATATTTACGACACGAGGATCAATTTTTATTTCCAATTCTTTTCAAACGCAAATGCCTTGTGTACCGGATGCTTCCCTTTCGATTTAGTAACTCTTCGTGCATGCAAAATTAGTAATACGTATTCTAAACTGCCACTTTGATACTCAAAGTTGTTTCATGTTATTATTTTACTTTCACATCATTTCTTCTCGATATTTACATTCAATGCTTAAAGATCGGTGCCCGCTTCTAACTCTATTCAAACGCAAAAGCATATTAGATATTCATTTCGTAATTTTTTAATAATTACGCGAAATTAGAAACAATCTATTTCAAGTTTTAGTTCTTTAATATCCTTTAATAATTCAGTTTATTTAAATACTAACGTTAAAAATAATAATATTAATTAATTCCAATTAATCAAATAGTATTGTAAAATACGCTGTATATAAGAACAATTAACAATAATGAGAATAAACGCTATAAGAATAAATTTTTTTTTATAATTATTGCATTAAGAAATCATTATACTTGGGAAACAATTTTTTTGTCGTGTTAATTATATTGCAATTAATATGTAAGGTTAATATTCAAGATTTTATTTTCTCACAGCCTTTTAATTAATATCCATTAGCAACAAAAATTATAAGGAAAATCCATTCTCTTATTTTTTGACTTATTTCTTCACTTTCCTTAACTTAAAAAAATATATAGACTTTACATTTTACATTTTGTTCCCAGAAAATTTAATTGTTTTTTTAAACAGATAATATTAACAATCCATTGTTTTGCATCGATCACATATTTAGATATTATTATTCTCTCTCTCTCTCTCTCTCTCTCTCTCTCTCTCAAAAAGTTCTTATATTAAATAAATAATAATTAAAACCCAACAATTCTCTCTACGTATAGTATTAAAAGTGTATGATAAATGATTATCAATTTACAGTGTAGTCAAATTATTTTGGAAACAGAGCTGATCCTCTTTTGATTGTATCTTTTTAAGGAGGTTGTAAGGGCATAAAACACATATATTAATATTTTCTCTTTAAATAAACTGCATACATGTGAAAGTTGTGTTCATAACATTCTGATTTTATTGAGCAACACATTTTTATAGGTTATTTATTTTATTTGTTATTAGTTTTGTTGTTATAAACAAAAATTGTTAAAATAATAAGAAAAATCTAAATGTTTTTATATAAATATATTAAGTACTAA